GTTCTCTAGAAATACCCTTGATTTGAGTGGACCCTTCGTCCTTGTCGTGACTACGCGGCAGATAGATGTCTGTGTGATTTGTGGGGAGCACCAGCTCCGCAGCAAACTTCCACAGAAGATTTGTTGTGGGTTTGTGAGAGAGGCACGACTGACCGCATGCCAGTGGTAGGCTGGACTCAAGTTGCTGCAAGGGCAACGGTAGCATTTGGCACTTGGTGGTGCTGCAACTGTTGTTATAGCAGTTGCGCTTTTTCATTTGTGAATGGAGGAAAAAGGAAAGAAAGAAATGAGATGTCGCGTTTTTTGTACACACTGACGCGTGCAAACGATTCGTTAGCGCTGCAAATTCTAATGTCCTCCTGTAGAGCGGCCCGCTGCTGCGGCGGGCTACAAAATCTATCGTCTTGTAGAGCGGCCCTGCTGCGGCGGGCACCTCCACGCACATGTGACCAGAGCCCAAAAGACATCAACAAAAGAGCTAGCTGGGTCTCGGACTTTCATCGTGTTCGTCCGTTCCTCCTCCCGATTCGCCTCACAGAAGACCACAAAAACAAGAATGAATGAATCCCTTCAACATCAAACAATTTTTCCGACCCGCCATCAGACAGGAAACACGACGAAACGCCTTGTCGACCTTCATTAGTTCCCAAATGCTAAAAAGTTCGCAAGTTATCACGGATTGTTTTTGTGTCCGAGTCATGGTTACACGGGCTTGCAATGGTTACACTCACGGATACACCTCGTGGGGAAGTTTTCAGTGCCATGGACGAGGGCAGGTGTCCAACCCAACTGTGTAAATCTATCCGAAGACGGCACAACACATACATAGCAAGCCACACCCCGCACGTGGTATATTATCGTAACTTTTCGACTGTTTTGCATATCACGGAAAACACAAACGCCTTCGTCATCCACGGGTAGTTGGGAATGGCACAACAATACCCTGAGCTATGTAGAGTGCAACCTCGTGAATGCTTACATATCGGTATAGTCAGCTACGATGGGTGGTGTCCCTCGATCCCTGTATGCATGATACGAAGTATATACATACATACATCCGAAGAAGTGCATTGTTTTTCTATCGATGAAATTTTCGTAGTCTGCAGCCGCCGGAATTGGTCCTGGAAGAGAAGGCGAGAGAAGACCAGAAGGTACGATTGGTGGTTGGTGTCCCATACTCTCCTCAGGGCCCCTGTTGAGTCGAGTGCGGTAGGAGCGCGCGGGACATCCAAGGGCGGGAAAGTTGCGGTAATATGCTCAACAGCAGTCTTTCAAGATGCCATCATCGCTGTATCGCCACGGCAGCAGCTTGGGCTGGGAAAGAGCCAACTGACTCCGCTCTGTTTTGCAGCAACATACGATGCTTCTCTAATCGGTGCTGGCTTTGAAGCTCCCGGCCGTTCGAAATACACATATTGTCCACATTTGTGCGTGGTTGGTTCGGTGGGTAGGTGATGCCGCCCCATGCGTTCGGTTTCTGGTCCCCATCTCGGCTGGGGAGAAAGGGTGTGTTTCCTTCTCGCCTCCCCCCGCTGCGACTAGCGCGTAGGCCTACATGCGCGTGCAACAAACACTACGTGTTTGGGGTCGACCATGCCATATGCTATTTACTTGTCGCCAGTGTGCGGGCGACCACCGAGCGCGCTTAATTTGACTCTCAACTGAAATAGGTCTTGTAATTGTAATGGCTCTCTTGGAAACAGATGCGCGAACACGCGGACAATCCGCACCCTGACAAGCAACCTGCTGGACAACTACTATTAATAGTAAGCTGACAAGTACCCTCTGCTGTTGTTGACCCACGACAGGTTCAACGGCTCTGGCGTGCGCTTCTGCGCCCAGCACCGTCTCAAGGGGATGGTGAACGTGCGGAACAGGCGCTGCGAAGGACCGAACTGCACCAAGGTACGCTTGCGTGTAGTGACCACAATTCATTCCTTTTCTTGATTCTTTTGCTTTGCTTTGGTGTTTTGGACCCTCTGTGCGAGCAATATGTACTGCTGTGCGACATGATTCACATTGAGTAGTGGGGCTGGCTGCTGTTGCAAAGACGGCGTGTCTTCCCTTTTTTTTTTTTCTGCACGCAAGGAGCAAACGACAGCTCATCCCTTCCTTTCCCGCGTGAAAAGGCAAGGACGAACAACGGGCCTCTTCTTGTGTTTGAGAGGCGAGGCCATGGGGTGCCACGAAGGAAAAAAAAAAAAGAGGTGTCGGAAGCGCCGCCTGCGAACTGCCCATCTTTTCACCCATCCGTGCAAATAACCGTTCCCGTTTCTGCGGTTGATTGTCGTGGGTTATTTGCTCGTGGTCACCAAGACCTAGTCCGGCTTCCGCGCCCCATGCCCACTCGGCCACTCGGTGATGGGCGTGCCTCCGCCGCTTTAACAGACAACGATCGGGGCCCTGAAGACGTTAGGCTTGTGTACAACGTATCCGGTGTCAACCCCCCGGTTTTGTTCGGTGGCGCACACGCCGCCAAATCAGAAGCACACAGATTTTGCGTCCGGTGTTCCCCCCCGCCCCCCTCTCTCTCTGCTAGCTAGCAAAAGAGAGGCACAAAATTGTTGTGTGCTGGTTGTCGGTTTGGGTGCCGGCATACTCCTGTTGTATGGTGCCGTTCGCGTTTGGGTAACGGCGGTGCTTCTTGTCTCCCTTGCCGGTCCCTCTTTCGCTACGATTCGCCTTTGGTCCCTCTTTCGCTACGATTCGCCTTTGCCTAGCCAGCTGGTGTGTTTCCTCTCAACTGGCCCACAACACGACACGGTTTGGTTCACTTGATCAACCGGAACATGAAATCGGCACTGCATGTACAACAATAGCGTTCTCGCTGCGACGAATGTATGACATGCTTACTGTTCGTGGCCACAAACACGTCGTTGGAGAGTAAAAAGTAAAAGGCATTTTGTGATATACTTGCACATGCATGTCATACGACAAGACGAACGGAACGACGAATGAATGGCCATGGTCGACGTTTTTTCTTCTTTTTGAACTCCCTGCAGGAGCCCTACTTCGGCCATATCGGGGGCAAGGCGAAGTTCTGCGCCAGGCACAAGCCATACGAAGCGATGGTCGACGTTCGACACCGCCGGTGAGCACTTGTGGTTCGCTGCTGGTGTTGTTTGCCCTTGGTTGTGTTGCTGTTGGCCCACTGTGTCTTTCCCTCTCTGCCGAAGCGTGTTATCACGTAAAATAGTACTTCTCAAGGTAAAGAAGAACGATATCGGCCTCCTCTACAATAGTAATCAGGAGGTACAAGTGCGCAAGAGCAGAACTATCTAGGCTGGCTGGGCGTCCAGAAAACGACATGCGTCAGACAGGCCCGCGCTTGACTTCCCTTCCCCTGGCCGTCCTTGCCGCCCTCTCTTGACCTTGACCCTTTCGTGCCCATGTTCCTGCTTTTTGTCTTGTCCTGTTGGATTTCCGTTCGCGTCTCTCCGATGGTGGTGGCCTGGCCGGTAAACCGCAAAAAAAAATAAAAATGGGGCAGCTGCGAGTTTCCCTCATGCACCAAGCAGCCCAACTACGGCTATGAGGGGCAGCGCGCCTGCTACTGCTCGACGCACAAGCTGCCTACCATGGTGGACGTGAAGCACAGGTAAACGGCCAACAGTTGGTCTCACTTTTCATGCCGAAGTGAAGATTACGTCATGAACCGTCACCGCAGTTGAGGTTTGCTGGTTGCACGCTGGTCCTTGTTTATTTGGGGGGGTCTCGCCGCTCACCGATCATGCGGGTCGCTCGATACTTGGCCGCTGTCGTTCCCCTCTATTTTCTCTTCTGACGCCCGACGCGCTCTGTCCGAAACATGGGATGCAAAGCAAAAGGTTCTAGGCGATGACAGACACTTCACAATAACAAACATAATTCCCTCCGTTCAACAACGGCACTGAAACCGTTACGGCAGGCGGTGCGCGGCGGACGGGTGCCGCGGCTTCTCCAACTTCGCATTCCCGGGCACGAAGGAGAAGTTCTGCGACGCCCACCGCCGGGAAGGGATGGTCCCCTCGGGCAGGGGGCGAGCCGTCACCGCCGCCGCCACCGCCGCGCCTGCTCCTCCTGCCCCTGTCCCTGCTCCATCACGCACACTTGCTACCGGCGGCGGCTTGTCGTCGGTGAAAGCGGAGGCGGCGGCCGGCGGTTCTTCCCCCTCCGGGGTAGCGCCGATGATGGTCGTCGCGAGCGGGGGCGTTTTTGCCGCTACTGCTGCTACTGCTGCTGCTGCTGCTCAAGGATCGGAGGATGGCGGCAGGAGGCGAGCATGCTGGTCAGAGGAGCGCGGTGGCGGCGGCGTTGCCGACAGTAGCAGCAGCGGGAACCCAGCGAGTGTGATGGTCGTCGACGACTACAACGGCGACGGCGCCGGCTATCGCAAGGTTGCTCGGGTCTACGAGCAGCAGCAGCAACACAAGCAGGAAGAGGGGAGCGCCGCCGCCATGGACCACTCCTCCGCCGGCGGAACAGCAGCTTCTCCCCTGGACCGGCGCCGGCGGAGCTGCCCGCCGGACTTGGGCACCGCGGCGAAGGAGTACGTCGCCCAGCAGCGGCAGTCGCTTCTTCTCCAACAAGGAGAGACCATGACGCCGGCGGCCGCCGGGATCGGCACACGGCCGCTCGAAGCGATCGCCGCGGGCCAGCAGCAGCTGCTGCAGCAGCCGCAGCAGCAGCGGCGGCGTCTGGAGCCGTACCCCGGCGACGAGCAGGCCGTCCACCAGCGCCACAACCTCGTCCGTTCCTTCTCGGCCGAGCAGCGGCGGTTCCAGACCATCCTGCAGCACCCGCAGCAGCAGCAGCAGCAGCAGCCCCAGCTGCGGAAGATGCTTCCTCTGCCCATCCCTTTCTCGTTCGGCGGCGGCGGGGTCGCCGCGGCGGCAGCCTCGCCGAGAACAGCGGCACGGCCGTTGGCGTCGAAGCGCCCGCTGTCGTGGAGCCCACGGGACACGCGGACGGCACCGCCGTCATCCGCGTCGTCGTCGCTTTCGTCGTCGCCGTCGCCGTCGATGGCTTTCTCCCTCGCCGCTAGCATGGCTGCAGCGGGAGCGAGAGACGGCGGCGGCGATAGCAGCAGCGCCCGTTCTTCGGCGGCGAGCCGCGAACAAAGCCCCGCAGGAAACGTCGCCAGCGAGGAGGGACGAGGAGGAAGAGGAGGGGGGGAAGGGAGATGGCCGAGGGCTCCCATGGACGAGGCCACGGCCGCTTTCTCCGGCTCTCGTTCGTTCGGATTCGGCGCGGCTCAGAGCTCAGGGGTCGGCGTTAACAGCGCGTTAACCCCGTCGTTTTTGTTCAACCTACCCCGGCGCGCCGACACGTCCCCCACTAGCGGCAGCGAGAGCGGGACCGACGGCGGGAGGACGACCGCGGCGGCCGAGGAATACAACAGATCACCGGCGGCGGCGGCGGCGGGGATGGCGCACGGCGCGAGCAGCGGCGGTGAATCCCCGACCACCTGGGCCGACACGGCGCTGGTTAGCAGGCAGCTGCCCACGGTCGAAGGCCTCCTGCCTCCCCCTCCCGTCACCGCCCACGGCGTGCCGTCCGTGGCCTCGCTCGACCCCCACTGGCGGCGCCGGATGCCGAAGGCCCGGAAGCCGGCCCTGTTCAGGTTCGGCGGCCGCGCCGGCGGCAGCGACGGCGGCGGTGGTGGTGGTGGCTGCGACGGCGGCGCCTCTTCCCAGCCGTCTTCGTGCCGGTGGCCGACTTTCATGTCGAGGCGGACGGCGACCGCGGCCGCCGCGGCGGCGGTGGTATCCCCAGGCACGGATGGGGACGGGGAACCCTTCGCACGCCGCGGTGGCGACCGCGCCGGCGGTGGCGAGCTGCTATCTTCAGCGTCGGTGCCGAGGGCGTCATGGTTGGGCGGGAGCATTTCCTCGTCGTCGTTGTGCTCGTCGTCGGCCGTTGTGACCCTCCACGGCGGGAGGAACAACGACGCGAGACTCGCGAAGCTGTCGTTGACCGACCGCGGAGCCGGAGACGCCCTGGGTCCCACGCTTGAGACGCTCGAGTTGGAGTTCGTGGGCAGGAAAAGGGAGTGATTTCTCCCGCCTCTTGTTGTATTAGATGCGGTGGGCGTGTATACTTTTCGTGATTGGAGGAAGGCGGCGGCGGCGGCGGAGGGGCGGGACCGGGAGGGTTCAATGCCTTTGTATGCAATGCACGTTTCGTCAGGCTACTCCGTACCGTAAAGAAAAAGTTATTTAGCACCGCCACGAACGCCGGAACGGGGCACGAGGAGTTTTACGGTCAACCAGGCCGGTTGCTGTCCGGGGAGTCGCACATGGGAGCCGTGCTTGTCCGCGACTCCAAGAACCCCTGTCGGAGGGGTAGTTCGGTCACCTGGTGGGGAGAGTGGGTCCTGGCGGATATCGCATATATGTGTTTCCTCCCCACTGGCCGTTTCAAAGCGAGGAATCGCGTAGACGCGGGGACGGGGGGGGGGGGGGGG